CGCGTCAAGGACTTCGTCGAAGTTTACAAAATCAAAGGGAACTTCGTTTGGGAATTTACTTACTGCCAGCTCGTGCCGAGCCCTGTAAGGAAGGGTCCAGGGGTCAGCTGCCGTAGAGAGTGTGTAAAAGCGAAGTAGAGAAGAGTTTGTGTAATTTGCTCGTGAGTAACTTACGGGACACCGAAGGTATCCTAATACTACGGACGATGGTGCGCAAAACCAGACATTTTTGTGGAGCTTGCGAACGGATAGAATCAATAAACACCGCCATAGCAAAAAAATATTTTTTGTTTGCTTTTTCCTGCAGCAAATACTTCAATTTTTGGAAAAGGCACTCTATGAGATCTTGTCTTTTCTGTATATTCTCAGGCAGTTGCATTTGTATAAAAATACATCTAGGTTAATAATTTCGTTCCTCCGGTTTTTTCCCGGTTCAACAAATCACTCATAAGGAATACTAATGATTTTTTCCATGGTGACCAATAAAGATGACGGGTCCAATTAGCAGAGGTATTGCCGACGGCTGTTCTCAATCACGTCTGTGGCAATTAACTTGCGGCAGTTTTATCCATTTGTCCAGGCCAGCGTAACGGCGAAGATGTTCATTCAAAGCTTGTGTACAAAACGGTCCGCATCTAAAAGGATGGCACGACTGATGTTGGTATGTGGTGCCGTAAGGTCATTTTAGGCCTGCCTCAGGCAAGTTAATGATGGAGGTTTACCACAGACTTAGTCGCTTTAGTCTCTTCATGCTCATGCGCAAATCCTTCCGATTTGGAAAACAACTAACGGCACGTACAAATTTCTTCCGCTCAATATCTCATAAAAGCAGCTTACAATGTTAATTTTAAACATTCAGTTTAGGTCGGATTACTGTAGCTTCCCTGCACTCACGTCATCAATCAGAAATGTTGTCAATTGATTTATGTCTACAATAACTTGCATAGCATGACGCGTTTGTTTCACTTCAAAGATGCATTGGAGAGAACATTATTTGGATGATCTTAGAAGTGAAGAATTCACTTCATATTCGGCCATTCGAATATGCGAATAGTCGAACATTTCGATTAAAGTATTGTAATATGCAAATGTTCGGTTCCAGTAGTGCGTAATGCACATGAACGTGTGTTACGATATCTTCGCACCAAACAATTTTTGTGATCACCTTACAAACGCAAGATTTTTTAGTCTATTATATAGCCCTCGAGTCTCATAAATAGCCAAAGGTCTGTGAAATCAGTAGTGCAGTTAGAACACACTTACCAAAGGGCCATATGTAGTGTCACAAGCGGCTTAGCTGCTTATGGTATACCAATATTGTACTGGTCCTACTATCTACACGCCTTTACTCATTCTCGCGTTTTGAATTGAAACTCGTTCAGTGCTGGGGTGTAGGGCGATTCACACGACCGCGATGCTCTCCACACAGGACCACCGCCGCGCGCGACACACCCTGCGGCAGCTTTCCCAAGCAAACCAAGGGGAGGAAAGCTTTGCGCGTGCGTGACGTGTTAAGACAAGTCAGGAACAGGGTGGCGCTTGAGACCTCCCGTGCGAAAAGACCGTCTCCCACAGTGCTGACATTACGAATAACTTGTAAACAACTATTCATTCAAAAGCTTTATTAAGTGAGATCTAACTTCGCGTGTATAAACTCCTCGCAGAAGATTAAATGCAAATTTGAATCGGTTTTTGCACTTTAAATGGCATGGTAGTCCTCATAAGAACACGTACCATGAACTACATCTCTGTGCAAAGACCTTAGCAAACGCTAAACTAAAAGCTTGACAAATTAACCACCTACGCAACTTTCTATCGCCGTTTTCGTAAAGTAATTGACTTCTAATCACTTTTTTTGGGCTTAAAGGCAGTGGATCGGCAAAACTCAACAACTCAGAAGTTTAACGCGATAGGTTCCTTATCCCCCAAGTATGAAAACAGTGCAATCCTGGTTGCACAGCATGCCTTCCTTACCGAGAAAATGGCTCTCAAACTTACACGCGCAGGCCAATCTTACACGCTCCCGGACGAGTTGGCAATTTCCTCCTCACCATTGAAGGCTGCCATCCGCAATACTTTAACCATTGGGTCCCGCAACGATCCAGCATCATCAGCCTTGCTGCAGTCGTCCAATTCCGAAGGGATGGGCATTGAAAAACGCTCGTTATCGCCGTTTTCAAGCTCGCAGAAGTGATTTTCGGGATCAGCGTATCGAATAACCCCAGGTAAGCGAAAATTTGACTAGGTCGAGATTTGCCGAGACACTGCCTTTAAGTTCATAGCTTGCACATTTACTTATCAAACATACCCTGTCTTTGCAAAAAGTGGTACTAGGGACCCAACTTTGCTGGCCAGAATTCAAGTGGATCCGTTTGGCGCGCAATTTTTGAGTGATTCATCGGATAAACTCGTGCTTTATCATGGTGGAGTTCCATGCTGGTATCATGCGCTATGCAAAATTTGGGCTCAGGACGTTGGCTGGAACATGCTCTACGAATTGAGTAAGACACACATACAAAAAACACTAGACCACCCTTAGTCAGTTAGTATATGGTCTTGGTAATATGGGTCGCATAACTTTGGTGGAGTGGGAAAGGAAAGAAAGAACATTTTTTGATGAATAGAGATACTTATCTCCTAAAACAGTTATTGTGGGAGAGTTCTCAATTCACTCAAAATGTTACAACTTGTTTTGCAAAGAATAGGTCGTTCTCCTGGTACTTTGTAACTTTCTTTCCACAAATTGCCTCTACTTTGTAAACCTCCGAATGCCTAGGCGTTTTGCCTGCTAGCCAAACTTATCTCCTAACAAAGACTAATGTATAGTTTTCTTTGCATGAGCGCACAACACTGATCTCCGTTATTTGACAGGAACGGTTGAGGTGCGACGGTCTCAAGAACCGTCCCCGCTAAACTCCAAAATGAAGCTGTCAAGGTGTTCCATGCGATCTTGATACTCATGCAGAAACATAAACTGTTTTTTCTGCAATTTATTGTTTCCATACGAAAACGAATGGTCACATACTCAGGACAGGCCAAAGTAGTGCGAAGGACAACTAAACATCTAAATCTCAACCGTTACGGTGTTAGCAGTCACAGAATCTCAGATTTGTTACAACGCTTTGCTATGTCAGCGGTCTCGCGTAGTTTTCTTCATTTTCTAAACTATCATTTCAACTAACCCGGAATCATTGGTTTCCACTTTTGACCAGCGCAGCAACGCACTCTCTATGCTTTGCATTGTCAGAGTTTCTATTTGATACAGAAATAGCGGTAAAACAATGCACTTACCTGTACGGCATATGGGAATTCGCCGATGAAGTTGTAATAAATCTAAACATACGGCAATACAATAGAAAGATGATAAAAACATTTATGCATCACCGACAGCAAATCGAAAAAAACCATAAACTTATTTTGTTAGAGGTCAAATTGGAAGCTATGTTGTAAATTTTGGTGCGCACTCTAAATGCTAAACTTTCTACTTATGGGAAGAAGCAACAGATAGCCAAACGTTCTGAGTGTTCGTAGCGTCAACCGCGCGAATGTGGCTTACAAAAGAAAAGGAAACTGAGCCCTAGAGAAAAAACTAACAAGAGATTTAAGTGACCTTTCTATATGGGACCTATACACTTTCAAATGCACTGATCGATGATTTCAAATCTGTCTGCATTATCTGCCGAGCATCTCTGGGAGCAGAGTTATGATCTTTTTGGGTCAAAAAATTTGAAATAGCAAGTAGCTGGAGCAATGTAGGTCAGATTTGCACATGTGATACAGAGTAGAATATCTAAGCACTTATGCAATGGATATTTCTGGCTTTTATGTAGTCAACATTGTTCTATTTGTCGTTGGTGTCGCTGCTATCAAGACTTTGTATTCTGGTACCTGTAAAGTGATAGACACATACAAGCAAGGTTGAAAACATTTGCAGCACTCTTCACCTTGAAGGCACCGTCTACCCTAAGTTGAGGGTGTTGAGCTTTTAGCAGCTTATAACAGTAGGGCCTCCTATCAAGCCAACGCCCAAGTCGCGGCGTAATTCGGAAGCGAGAAAATCGCTTCGGAACAGCGAAGATGCAAGAGGACCCCGATCCATGCCCGCCCATTTGTGCGCGCTCATCCAATCACCGTTCTGGGAAGCTGCCCTGTGGGATCTCCGAAATGGGGATTTTCGGAATTTTCGCGCATTCTCGACTTTATTTTTGGAATCAGGGACATGAGAAGGCCCTGAAACGACAAAAACCTGGAAGTCGAGAATCTGGGTGGACAGTGCTTTTAAGGTTTGAAAAAAGTGGTTAGTAAAGAAGAGGATAGGCTTCAAATCAAGTACCACTCTCTGTCACTTCTCACTTTTGAAAAATCGTTCTGTACATGAAAGTGAATATTACGCAAAGTTCCATGTTAATTACTCACAGCTTGGCGATGACAAGCACACAAATACGTCCTATTTATTTTTATTTAAAGACAGTATATCTTTATTAAATGAAGGTCCACATTCCGGCAGCAGGATTATCGCTCAAACAAACAGATGATACTTAGATTTCCAAAGCAAGACGGGAAGATGAATGTTATTTCTTCATGAAGTGAAGCGAGGTTTCTGAAAAAGCAAACATCTCTTTTCACAATATAGAACTACCAGTTCTCACTACAAATCTTACTCGCTGATACTATAGAGGACTGAGAAGCACCGACAGATTCTCGATAGCTTCATAAATTGTTTGAAACGAGTTCTTTTTCAGAAGTTTTCTTCGTAAATGTCCTTCATAATCTACACATCATTGTATCTCACTCTATTCAGTGCTGATATTTCACGTTTCTTCGCTCTACGTTTTCCTCCCTTGACTTGCATATTTTTGACCAGATAACCGCACGTCCACAACGGAACTCGTTTGCAGCATTGCGCGACTTTCATTCTAGCACCATTGCAAGACATAAGTCTCAATCGTACCAGTATATATATAGCCCCAAGTGCTCATACTACTTCAGCTGGAATCGGCATGATCGCGCATAAAGTGGTGAAATGCTGAGACTCTTTGGTATTTTCAACCATCTGCTCTTATGATTTTGGATTTTTAGATAGTTACCCTTGCGTGGTTATTTGGACTCCTCCCACATGCTGGAGGAGGCTATGGTGCCGGCGCTGTCGGCTTCTATGGTAACGGAGTTAGCGCGACCGATTTTGATCCAGTCCTTTTGCAAGGAGTCCGAGGTTACCCTGGAATACGAGTTCGAATCAACCAACGAGCGTTCCAATACGTAACTGGAATAATAGCCAATGTGCTGAATCAAGAGATCAGAAAATTTAAAATACCTCCTGTTACACGATGCATTCAGCAGGTACGGACAATTCTTGTTTGCCTGCACTATCACGTTCTCGCAAGCGCGGGATTTCGTTATGTCTTAGAAAAGCAAATGGCTTGGTTAAAACCAGAGCGCAATGATACGGCACCAAGCTTGCTGTGCACGTACGCGCGAGGGAAGTCGAACTAGGGCTGAAAACTTTATGGAAACTTATGTGAATGAAAGCCCTACCCAACTTTCTTCTCAATCAGCCGGAGCGCTAGGCACTGATTGAGCTGATCCCAGTTTTTGCCCACATAATTTTTAGACTAAATGAATTTTATCTGCATGTCAAAAGTTTTCATGCAAGCACAAAAAGCTTGCTCTTTGCTCTACGTTCTTATAAAGCCTATAGAAGATCTCACTGGTTGCGCAATCCTGCTTCGATCATGAAGCGCACCTGTGAACCAGCGCTTCCAGTAAACTGTTTCACTCTCACTGGAGGTTTGATGTCTTCTCTTTCTTCATGAAGGAGGGAGGGAGTAAGAAAAGAGGGGTAAGAGAATCAGAGTGATCGACGGTGCAGGAATAAGCGGAGAGCCTGTATGCTTGACAGGCATATTCTCCCTTTAGGGTCTATGCCCATTAAGCATACCGGCCAGAGGTGCGATAGTCGGAGCCGAATCTCCGCCTACCTTCACTTTTGAGCTGGTACGGGGTGACCACCTTCACTTTTGTGTTTCAAAAAATTTTTTTGCTGAAGCTTAAAAGAGGGAAAATAGGAAAAATGAACGCAAAAGAAAGTATTGAGAGCATATATCTATGTAGTAAGTCGATCTAGGCAGTAACCGCCGAGAACCAGAATTTCGAATGATAAAATAGCGAAAAAATCATGCGAAATTTCCACTGTTATAAATCTGGTGATTGAAGATGTCAGCAATTGCGACTTCATGGGTTTTGAAAAGTAAGTGTTGTTCTACCAGATAGTGAAAAAATCAGGTCGATCTGAGCAGTGACCGCCGAGAACGAGGATTTTTAAAAAATTAAGGGATTTTAGGTTACTTAGTGACAGCTGACGTTCAGACTCCTATAAATCTGGAATGTGAGGGTGTGCAATGTTGCGACTTTAAAGGTTTTGTAGAGTAAGAATTGCTCTATCGGATTATGTCTTAGCCGTACCGATCCATCAAGATAACGCCGAGATTCAGGCTTTTAAAAAAATAGGAGAAAAACCGCTTTTTGAAAATTAACAGCTCATAACTTCTTCAGAATTGCATGAATCATATTGCGACTTCATAGGTTAGATTCTTCTCATCAAGAGCTTTCAGAAGATATATAACGTGTGGGGGTTTCGCGCCTGTTACGGCATATGCCCGGGGGTGGAGACTTTTCACCCCAAAGTCTCCACTGGCGGTCTCCGGCCAATACATTAACATGGGCGAGGTGGAGACTTTGGGGTGAAAAGTCTCCACCCTGGGTTAGAGCCGCAAAAATTATTGAACCCCCCACATATTTGTTATCATCTGAAAGCTCTTGATGAGAAGAATCTAACCTATGAAGTCGCAACATGATTCATGCAATTCTGAAGAAGTTATGAGCTGTTGAAATATAAAAAGCGGTTTTTTACCTGTTTCTTTAAGAGCCTGAATCTCGGCGGTATTTTGATGGATCGTTAAGTCTAAAGCACAGTCCGATAGAGCAATTCATACTCTACAAAACTTATGAAGTCGCAACATTGCACACCCTCACATTCCAGATTTATAGGAGTCTAAACGCCAGCTGTCATTGAGTAACCTAAAATCGCTTAATTTTTTGAAATTCTCGTTCTCGACGGCCACCCTTCAAATCAAACTGATTGTTTCACTTTCTCGTAGAACAACACTTGTCCTTTAAATCCTATGAAGTCGCAATTGCTGACATCTTCAACGGCAAGATTTATAAAAGTGGAAATTTCGCATAATTCATCGTTATTTTATTACTAGCTGGCTTACCCGGCTCCGCCGTATCCGGACCAAACTTGGCACACATACACTTCGGGCCCCGGCGGGTGTCACAGTCCACTTTTCGTTATCGATCGATGTCGATTTTACCGATTTTTATCGATTATTTTGCAGAGTTCACCTACAGGGCTAGGAGTTGGCACAGGGGGGGAAGTGAGCATGGGGATTCCGAATACAATATTAGTTTTCAGAATTATCGATTACTTTTATTGATTTTATCGATTTTTTGTAAATTTTGACATGCGAGGCTGGGATTTTGCACAGGGGGGTAATCGAGCATGCTGATTACGAACACAATATTAGTTTTCAGGATCGTCCATTACTTTTATCGATTTTATCGATTTTTTTATAAAGTTTGACCCGCGGGGCTGGGAGTTTGCACAGGGGGGTAACGAGCATGCAGATTACGAATACAATATTAGTTTTCAAGATCGTCCATTACTTTTATCGATTTTATCGATTTTTTGAAAATTTGAGCTAGGGGGCTGGAATTTGGCACAGGGGTGTAATCGAGCATGCTGATCACCCCCCTTGGGGATGATCAGCATGCTCGATTACCCCCCTGTGCCAACTCCCAGCCCCCTAGCTCAAACTTTGCGAAAAAATCGATAAAATCGATAAAAGTAATCGATAATCCCGAAAACCAATATTGTATTCGGAATCCCCATGCTCGATTACCCCCCTGTGCCAACTCCCAGCCCCGTAGCTCAAGCTTTGCAAAAAAATCGATGAAATCGATAAAAGTAATCGATAATCCTAAAAACCAATATTGTATTCGGAATCCCCATGCTCGATTACCCCCCTGTGCCAACTCCCAGCCCCGTAGCTCAAACTTTGCAAAAAAAAATCGATAAAATCGATAAAAGTAATCGATAATCCTAAAAACCAATATTGTATTCGGAATCCCCATGCTCGATTACCCCCCTGTGCCAACTCCCAGCTCCGTAGGTGAACTCAGCAAAAAAATCGATAAAAATCGATAAAATCGATATCGATCGATGACGAAAAGTAGCCTATGACACCCGCCGGGGCCCGTAGTGTATGTGTGCCAAGTTTGGTCCATCGGTTCAGAAATAGAATTTTCTATTCGGAACATACGTACAGACAGACAGACAGACATACAAACAGACATTCAGCTTTATATATAAGACCAGTCCAAAGCGCCGCTTCGCGGCGCTTTGGACTGGCTGTGTGTGTGAAGTGAGAATGTGACTGAAACTTATCTTTAGAACCTTCGAAGATTTGGAGCGAATCTTTTCCTCTCCGAAACTATGGCACGGATTTGAACAGTAAGGGCCCAGAAGTTGTCAAAGTCACTGATTTTTCCTGCTTTCGAAAGTTCCGAAAAATTTTTTATCAAAATTAGCAACAGGATCATAAATGCTCCCTTCCCAGCTTCTTTTCTAACCGCACCGCCACTTCCTTTGCTCGCAAAGACACGAATTTACAAATACTTAATTTACAGATACTCGAATCTTGTATACTCTTGCGTTTTGCTATCTTAGTCTTTCGAGGATTCTCACCCAGTAGCTTCTTAATCAAGTTTCCTGAAGTACCGATTCTTCTCGCATTCTCACACTTCAGTTCTAACTCACGCTTTAAAAGTTGCCCCCAAATCCGCCTTATTGGAAATGTTCAGCCTGATCACAATTGAGACAGACTTAGCCTGAGTTCTCCATTCTACATTCTCGGACGTTCCCAAACTTCCACACTTGAAAAAAACCTAAGTAAAAAAATTTTTGTGACTGGAGCGCGTCCCAAATCCGACAAAGCAATCCCAGCCATGTGCACTCTTCCCACCCGGCGCCCTGTTTCCCACATTGAGTGACCCTGCAAACTGCCTTAGAACCTCCACCCAAAAGTTTTAATCAGACTATTTTTATCCCTCTCCGAGACTGGATTTTTCGAATTGATATTCTTGAAAATATATAGCTGACATCGGAACCACCAAATCTAGAGCTTTCAAATTTGAACACTCTATCTCTTCAAAAGTATTTTTTAAAGAGTCACAATTCCTCTTCTACTTCAAGGAATTTTACTGTCAAAACTCGTTCGCGTTTTATGAAATTCCCCAGCTGTCCAGCATCCTTGCACTTCATCCCTAGGCTCCAAAATCCACTCAATTTTCAGGTTATCTTATTAAGCGAGTTCAAATTTTAGAAGGGACCTACTAAAAGGTGTTTATACTTCAAGCTGCTCACCTAGGCAGATCTCGTTCCTTATACAATTTTGAAGTTATGCAATAATTCGGCAAGGCTGTGCTGTAGTTTAGTAAAGCTTCAATTTACGTAAAACCAACTTGCACGCCACCTTGTCTCTTATTCGTAGCTGAGATACCAACGACGATTCATACGGTACTAATCCCAATAAAATCAATTACGATCGCATTGACGTTCTTTTAATTACTCCACGAATTTTTGATGTTTGAAGCAAAACTCGGGAATTTGTAAGTGGTTTCCTTAGAGTTTACTGTTTTCTAGCTGAAGTAGGCTTTTGCATCCAGCTTTTATCGACTTTCAAGATAATTTGCATGATTACGCTGTATTTGTCTGGAAAGACAGATGAAGAAAGATGCTTCGTACAATTGTTGGCAACTATCTAAAAGGTTCACACAGTATTGAGATTTCAACTCAATGGAGTCAGAGCTTCGAAATTAGTCAACTTTGACAAACATCTTTGGATGTAGATTGAGAAGAAGCCGTCTAAAGAAATGCGTGGTGAAAGCATTTCAAAAAAGTGCTCATCCAGAAAAAAATCGTAGACAGAGAATGTCCAAAATAAAGTTTGCGAGAAACCTTCAAAACAGATTTAGTGCAGTTTATTTGGGATAACAACGTTCACTAAGCCTTCATTGAGAACTTCTTCTTGCTGAGATATGTTAGCAGAAAATTTAGGAGAACATAATGATTGAAGGTTTGGTGCAACTGTTTTACGGTGAGGAAACATACTAAGCACTCGAGAAATGAACTATGGAAGACTGCAGTATTTTACTAAATGACTTTTTTCGAAAAACTTATGCTGCACTTCAATTCAAACGCTCCATAATAGAAAAAGAGA